TTCACATCCCTAAAATCAGACTCTTAATATATAACGCATCTATTATTTTTTTTTGCCTCTTATTTTTTTAGATTCTTGAGATCCATACATTTTTTATTATTCAAGAAATTGCAAAGAACTCACCCCTTATTGTTCGCAATGTGCTTTCCATAGTTCTTACAAAAGAATTCGGACAAATTTTCGAGAATGGGCTCACTGTGAAGCGCGATGAATTGCTCCCGGCAAATCTGAAAAGTGAGACATTGTGCATTACGGCTTTGTCTGAAAGTGTTTGTTGATTATGTCTTTGTGATGATTATTACTCTGTTCATAATATCCACCGTGCTAGGGTGCGTCCAGAAACAATCATGCACTGACATAAATGTGATCCCCGCCTGTTCACAATACAAGCTCGTTAACATCATGTGGGAGGAGTCCAACGAGTGGACAAAATTCGGCGCGAAGGCATTCTTTTGCTTTACTGTGTCCAGTTTCCTGTAAATGATATTTGTATTACGTATATTTTATTTATGTAATCTATATAACCTACATAATTATATAGATAATTTATATAACGATATCCATTATATAAAAGGAAATGTGAGAGATATACAGAATAATTCAATAAACTTCTGAGAATTGATATAATTTAGAAATAAAAATTTTCACGTTTTCTAAATCTTATATTCGATTTAAAAGTTTGTAAACATTTTTTAAATCAACTTTTTTGGAATTACTTAAATATCCAAAACAATGTTTTTTTACAATAAATTTTCAAAATACGTTGTTATAAATATTTGAATAAATAATCCCAAGAATGTCAATTTTATAAAAATGTTTTTAAACTTTTGGTCTGTACTTATATATAGAAGAGACAAATGCGAGAAATATGTAAACATGCGGTGAAATGTATAACCAAGTTAGTGTCCTCACTTGATCTTGAATTTCAAGTTACTTGACTTATGCTTGAAATAGGGTTGCATGACCGTAAAACCCAACGGCGTCACCCATTGCACATACTGATTGCATCTGATCGTGATAGCGCGGGCGCAATCCGTGAACCAGTTCTGTATCTCCTTCGCGCTCTCAAACATACTCTGAAGAGACATGAATGTCTTTTGAGTCAGATACATGCTGCCGTTCCAAACATACTGCTGATCAAAATCCTCCAAATCGCTGAGCTGCCTGGCGATTTGTAGCCTGGCGCCAAACTTCGTCACGCCATACACTGTAGTCATTACAGTCTGTTTCATGACCTTCCTACTGACGTGTCCTTCTAAGGCCTGAGCTATTCTATTACCAGCATCCGCGTCGATCTTCCTGTACTCGTCAACCATACTAGCGACGACACTGTACACGTCCTGTGGCCTGTCCGAAGGATACAAATTCACGCTCTTCGCTCCTATTAGATCTCTCCCGAGCGCAGCGTAATGCTGCAAACCGTTGCAGCTACCGTCTTGATGAATAGGAAGCCGGCAGATGTACTCCTTCACATTTGGGGATTGGAGAGCGTTATCTATCTCTTTGCATGTCGCCAACGTTTGCCATGGTTCATCGGCCTTGGTCCACCACATCTTTCCCGTCAGAGGATTTCTCGCGCTGTCCACAATCAGGTCCAATATCTCATTTGCGAACTCTAACCGTTTGTGCATCGGTTCTCTCTTCTTCAAACCGGACATGTTTATTGCATGAATCTTCAGCCAATCCAGACCACTAGAACCCAAAGGCTTACCCTGAGCGAACATGAGAATAGAGCGGCCTAAGTCCGAGCTGAGATGGGTCAGATTAGGCGACACTGGGTACGCCCTACCTCTAAAGTCCAAATTATGCGGCATCCAGAATACCTTGTCTCTGAAGTGATTTGCGAGAGATAATTTATAAAGACAATCGCACCATAGCGAGTGCATCTCGTTTTTCTTACGTTTGAATTGAAACAGCAGCTTCATTATCTGTTTAGGATTCTTATTTGTTTCGCTCGAGATGATATCCGTCGAAGATGGAATTACTGTGGATGGTTGAGGTACATTCAGCTCTTTTGAGCCACCATCCCTGAAGATCTGAATCAAGATATCCAACATAGGTACGTTAATTCTCCACGGAATCGAACCGAGTTGATTCAAACTGTCGAATGCTGGATACAGTTGTTTTGTCGGCGTATTTCTCAGTAGGTGTGATGATTTCATGTAAAAATCGCGAACAAACGCCGCCTTGGAGAACAGATAACCACCGGTGTTTACGTTGACCCAAGGACGAGGCGGACAGAACGTCGGCAACAAAATTGTCTCAAAAGAGAGTGTCTCTGAATGTAAGTCCTTGTAAAACCTGTGTAATTGAGGATGAGGCTTGATCTCTTCCATGAAAAACTTGTTGGAGTGGAGCCTGAAGAGCAGGTAGAATGCGGGTATCTGTCGCTCGGGCGCACCAGGCTTAGATACGTGTGAGATTTTCACGTCGTTCACGATGATGTTGTACAGAAATTTGCCTACGTTCATCATAGTGTTATGAGACCACTCTGGCACCGATAGCTCATAGCACACACCAGACTTTTGAGCATCATTGATGAGTTGCTGCCATTTGATGCGCCCGTTGCTGATCCTGTCCGCAGGATTCTTCTTCATATACCACTCCAAATACTTCTTGTAAATCTGAATAGAATTGTCTATGACACCATCCTTCA